TTTGTACATGGGGAGGGTATATGGCTTGGGTTTGCAAGGCTATATTTATGAGGGCAGTTCATCCACCTCAACATTTTTTGATCCTAGTGGAGCTGAAGAAAGTGTAAGCCAGAGGGTTGCAGCTCTGACGAGAGAGATATAAGAGATGAGAAATGTTCAAAATGAGACGCAGACAGAGCTGTGATCATACATAGATGAAAATCAAAAGAAGAAAGAGCAAGAGCAAGAGCAGCCACATGCATCACCAGAAAGCGAGGATACGGAGGAGTATTAGTACTCTTTTTTGTTTGATGAACTTATTGTAAACTTATTTGGTTTGATGAACTTATGTGTAAACTTATGATGAGCTTATTTCATTTGACTTATTGTTTGGTTATGAATTTATTATGAGTTGATTTGTTTAATGAATATATTTCTGATAATTGTTGTGATTGATTATAGTGGCGTGTTGCCCATATTTGTGAAAATTATTGTATTTTTTTGTACATGTTTAGAATTTAGGGTGAAAATCAATAAAATATAGGGGAGGCTGTCAATTTTTTTTTTCAAATGTTATAGGTTTCCAGCGGCCAACCGGCGGTTTGACTCCTGGAAACTTCGATACTGGACGGCTAACCATAACCGCTAGTATTTACCGGAGGTTTGCCGACGGTGTCCGACGGTGGTCTCACCGTCGGCAATTCCTTCGGTTATGACCGCTAGTTAACCGACGGTTTACCGGTGGTTTACGCTGTTAGAATGACGATAACCATACCAGCGATTGAACAGCCGGTACGTCGCCGGTAAAAAAACCGGCGGTCATAGATGCTCTGACTGCCGGAACCTAACTGGCGGTATGAACTGCCGATGAAAAAAATTGCCAGAAAAAGGCCGTCGGAAAAGGTTTCCAACGCGGTTTTTACCGGCAGCTTTTGAATAGCCGAAAGACGCCGGTGTTTTACAAAATCGCCGGAAATCTAATGCTAACCGCCGGTAATAATTGATTTTCCTGTGGTGTCGGGAGCTTGGATAGTGGTTGGGCCGTTCGATGCGGACTTGGGTGGGGAGAGAGGTGTTAGGGGCTGTGACCTTGCGCATCTTACGGAGTGGCTGAGGTGTCGAGCATGTTATGTGTGCTATTTTAGGTTTTGTAATAAGTCAGTTTTTTTTTTTGAGTGAGCTTGTGACAGATATGAGAGATGTAGGGGTGGGCGGTTGCAAGAGGTGGAGACTGTGTGAGAACCATTAGATATTATTATTAGTATTATATTATTAATATTTATTTAATATTGTACTTCATTAAAAGGAGATGTGATGTGATATGCATAAATAAGGGATGGGAAATGCTAGTAGATAAGGTGCTGGATATAGATATATATTTAAAACTATAAAATTGAATTAAAATAATGGTTAATGTGAACAAAAGTGATGTGAGTTGATACTCACTCAATTTTTTTGTGATTTGCATGTCTCAATTTGTGTGTCAGCACCTCGTATGCAGCCAAGTTTTGCAATTTCGCATCATGTGACAGTCCATGCAATATTATTGTTATTTCTGGGTAATTTGATGTTCTAGCACCACGACAAAATTCATTTCCTGATCGGACATCATTTGAGCGATTTTGCGTAGCGTCACACTCGCCCACTGCCGTGCTCGTTATCACTTGACCATCTTGCATGCCAATGATTATTCTTAGATAAATTTGATGACCTTGACACATCGATTCACTCTGTTTCGTGGACATACGGCATTTGAGTGACTTCATATGATGTCAAGGCATTTCAAGCTCACTACACGACATGTCAGTTGATTGTCCTTTTTGTTGTCGCCCTTCTCATCACACTTGATTGCCCGTCAAATATATATGGAGGTCAATATTTTAATTTCAAATTTTATTTTGACTCTTAATATGATACAATGGAGAAAAAATATTTATGTAGCCGACCCCATGTAGTAGGATAGAGGCTTATTGTTGTTGTATCATCCCATACAAAAATCCTAAAGTTTTACTCTTTGAAATTGTTAAAAAATAAATCTAGGGTTCTCAATAAAAACTAAATTAATGTTCGCTAAAAAAATAGAGGGAAGAAAAACCTTTACTTTGGTCGAGTTGGCCTAGTTATGTGGGGCTTAAATGATGTGGCTTACCCTATTTCCTTTATCGCATGTCTTCTCGCTCGTCACTGTGCTTGCTATGCTCATTGAACTCACTGCTCGTAGGTTTGATCTCTTTGTATACCATGTGTACTGATGCCTGCAAAACTAGAGTAAAGAGACAAATTGGAGAACACCAGGACAAGACAAACCAAATTCGATTCAAATGTAGTTTGCAAACAACCAAACAAACTTCGAAGAAACAAAAAGCCAAATCGAAAGAAACAAAATAAAAACCATAAAACGCTATCCTCAGTAAAACCGTCTAGTGGTCTTCTCACATGCAACGAGAGTAGGAATATATAATAAAATTGTGCTTAGGCTTGCAAACCGAGGGTTCATCACTGCAAAAGAGTCCAACGTTCTACCAAACTCCTTCGGCAAATGTCTTCAAATTTCAGCCAACATACACTTCCAAAGCTCAAGAAGAATGATACAGGTAGAGTGGAACTTGCGTAGAGAAGAAGTGGTTAGAAGCCCTGACGAAATAAAGAGGAGGAAAGGGGTTGGAACAAGCTCTCAAGCTTTTCCAAGAGTAGAAACCCTCAGGTTTTTGTAGAGACTTTGCTCACAATTTTCAACAACCTTTTTCATGCCAAAATAACTCATTTTTATAGGCAAAAGAAGGTAGACAAATAGCCATAACACCTCCAACCAAATCCAATAAGAATTGGGGAAATGAAAGGCCAAAATTCACCAAATAGAAGGCCAAACAGCAGCAGGAAATTTGCACAGAAAAAAGAAAAAATTCCATGGAATTCCCCCCCCCCCCCCCCCAAACAGCCAGGGAAATCCAGCCAGCAAGGGACCTGAAAATCAGCACAGGAGACAAAGCAACATGCCATGGGAAACCCAGCCAGCAAGGGACCCGAAAAGCCAGTACACGGAGATAAAGAGGCAGAGGCACGGGAAACCAACCAGCAAGGGCCAAACCGAAAAGGCAAAGGTAGGGGAAGAGGCACAAGTCCACTCCAATAAACTCCTCAATAACGAGCTTGAAATAAAAGCATACCTTTTTGATTTAATGAGCTAGGAAGTGCATTTAATCTCCAATCATTGAGCTAAACTTCAGCTCAAACATTTATGAGCTAACACCAAGTAGAATCCAGCATTTTGAGCTCAACACCAAGCTACCAAGGCCCACCCGAGAACAGCAACCTGACCAAACTGAAATCAGCAAGCAGCCCAAGGACAAAATGGACCCAAGAGCAAGCAAACCCAAGGCTTGCCATGCCTAGCACATTCCTACCATGATCATTGGAAGCCCAACCATCATAGGATAGCTTAAAAAAAATATAAAACACAACTAATATTGTTCAAAATACATTAAAACAAAAATAAACTAAAAATATTGAATGCATCATATACCCACTCATTTGCTCCCATTGCCTGGCCCTCCACTTATATTGATTTACTCTTCCTGTGTCTCGCTTGCTTCATCTCTCCCAATCTCACACTAGATGCCCACATTCGCTTGCCCACTTCACTACTTCCCTTTGTGTAAAATGCGATTCGTCAATTAATTGTTTTAGATTAACTCGTAAGTTCAATTTTTACCTAGTCGTTACACTAGAACTATTTAACAATTACTCGATCAGGTATTTTATTTGTCGTTCAATTGGTTTGTCAATTTATGTAAATTCCTCATGGACATTTATTCACCGTTTTCTGAATCATTCAATACCTTGTGGGACACTTAGCTATTGTTAGTTTTTCAAATTGGTTACTCTTCATCTTCTGGCTTATGGTGATGCTTAATGGATTGTGTGCTAGCCTGATGGTTTGCCTTGGGTTGTTGTATGTTTCTTGGTTACTCTTTGATTTCATAGAAAAATAAACTACCTAATGTGTTTAAATTATTGATTGAGCTCGAGTATTATGTAGTATGTACTGTCTATTGCTTTCTCTGAGATTATCTGGCTATGTGGATTTCTCTCTAAAGTTGAATTTTCTTAGAATAAACCCATCTCCATATGAACAGTACTAGTTCTTGTCAAATTGATGTTAATCCAGTTTATGATGAGCGCACAAAGCATATTGAAGGAGATTTTAATTCAGTTTTTGAAGCCCCTGGCCCTTATATTATTTCTCTTCTTCGTATTTCTGTAAATTTTAAATTTTTTTATATATTTACAAAAGCAATGCCATGACAATGCCATTGGGTCCATGTCAGTGAATTGATGATTCTCGAACAACAAGCATCAATCTGAGGGAGCATTAATCGTAATTATGTAGTATAGCTCTAAAAATTTATATTTAGTATTGCAGGTTTTTTTTTAGATCATATGTAGTTGTAATTGTTGATATTAAGCTTTCTACTATGCTATCTATATTCTATATAGCGATGGGGACCTTGGTATGAAGGCATGAGTCCGATTGACACATTTGGTTTTGTTCATGATTTAATTGGTGGAAGAAAATTACTTGAAGGATGACATATGTTTATTTCTTCTTCAAGATATTAGATCAGCAAATATTTGTAGACTTCTGGAAGGGGTTTCTTTTATTCATATTCAGTCTAAACGAAGTTATTTACATAAAAATCAGATTTTCAAAAGAAATTATAATGGTTTCTCATTTTCTTATCATTACTTTTTACAGGCATATATTTATAAGCTGTCATGAACTAGCTCAAGTTTTTGTTGTTTTATTCCTTGGATTTTATTTTATCTCCTCTTTATCAATAATATCAGTTTCAATGACGTGCACTTTTCAATTTTCCATTTTCAATTTATGGACAAGTATTATCTCATGGTTGTATGTGTATCATTTAATGAGCTGTTTTTACTTATAGCTCCATTTTCTCATGATTTGAATTAACTAGCTTAATCCATGTGTGGGCTGTTTCTTTGTGATGGCTTTGCAGATTGAGGTGATATTGAAATTTGAGGAGATTTCCGTGGAAACAGCAAGAGAATTTTCTCCTTTGTTCTCAAATGTAAGCAATTGTACACCAAATCAATTCCCACATCAACCTCTTTTCATTTACATCACCGGATTATACAATAAAAAGGGGCATATAGAATAATCATGATACAAACTCTTCTTTAATATATTTTATATATCACAATTGTCAAAAGAATCTAAAATAATGTGTACCTAAGATGAGTGTCTCAATATGACCAACAATCTCTAAATCAATTTGAACACTTCCTTTCTTTGAAAATAGCACATGAAAGCAGAGCCAGGATGAGCAATAATAGTTCAATTGGTTATTTGAAACTTACCATAATATTTAGTACACGAAATGGAGAATCGTTTTATTAGGTATACTGTTATTGCAGAAACTAGTGTCAACTGTAGATATATGTCAGAAGCAATAATTTAAGTATTTTTTAAACATTATATTTGGAATAAAATTACATGACCGGAAATAATAGTTTTATTTTTATTTTAGAATGTTTCATACCTTTTCCTTCGCCTCTTATATCTTCGATTTTACTTATACCTCAACTTGTTCATATTTTCTATTTGCTCCTTACACCTCAACTTTCAGTTATACCTCCATTTCTTCACGTAGGTTCAGGTGTATCATATGCATTTGTATATAAATCAGTGCATAGGCTCTTAAACCTCATTTTGAATGTGTATAGATCACAACCAACTATTTACTCACACTTTTCTCCATTTTTTCTTTTTTGTACCTACATTTTAGATACGTAAAATAAAAATATCAATGATTTCTACATGTATTAATAGTATAGAACATGTTACATAAATTTATAAAAGTTGTATGTCTGTCAAAACAATTAGATTCTTTGGGTAAATTAGTTTACACCCTTTTAACTACTCATAAATCACAAAGCTATTTATATGCAATATCCACAATATCATTTCAAAACTTTTTATTGTTCTATAGTGATTGCTATCGAGTTATATACTCTCACTAAAACACATAAAATGTCACATTGTAAAATATTTGATGATATATATATATATAGAGTCATAGACAACAACAACAACAACAAGCCTTTATCCCACTACGTGGGATCGGCTACATGAATTCTTTTTATCCATTGTGTTATGTTAAGAGTCAAGTTCTCATTTTGATCTAATAAAGAAATATCATTTCTAATATTTTTTAACCAAGTCTTTTTAGATCTACCTCTACCTTTTTTTAACATAGGTTAAATCTAATACATCTATTCTCCTATCTGGATCATCGGAAGACCACCATTTTATATGACCAAATCATCTAAGGCGACTCTCTCTAATCTTATCTGTCACTGGAGCTACTCCAACCTTTTCACGTATATGCTCATTTCGTATCCTATCTCTAAGAGTAAAACCACTCATCCACCTGGGTATCCTCATCTCTGCAACATTTAACTTAATATTATGCTTCTCTTTTAATAGCCATCATTCTACACCGTAAAGCATTGCAGGTCTAACCACCATCTTATAGAATTTTCCCTTAAATTTGAGTGGTACTTTTCTATCCCACAACAAGCCCGATGCATTCCTCCACTTCATCCATCTAACTTGAAGTGTAAAGGTAGTTAAACCCATAGATCTAAGTCACGCGTTAAGACTTAATATATATAATAAAATCCAATGTGGAGTACTCCTAGAGGGTGGCCGGAAGTTTCCACTTCGCCGGAGAGAGGCGGCGCCGGCCATACTTCACATGAGTGTGATCAAATAGAAATTACAAGAAGGGTAAAGGTAGTTAAACCCGAGTCAGACATCTTTCACAATTGGCCCAATATATAAAATAAGCTCTAAGACCATCAAATATAAACTCTCTCCTATCCATCTCCTTCTCGATCAACTTTTGACATGGAGGAGAACAAATTGGGTATGAAATTTTATATTTAAAATATTTTTATTAAATTTTGTAAATTGAAATAATATAATATTATATTTATAATTAAGAAAATATTATTTTTAAATAAATACAATTTCATATAAATTCTCTTATATGTTCAAATTCAAAACTTCAAAAATAATGAATAAAATCATCAATATTTAGTATATCATTTATAGAATATACTGGCAAAATTGATTTACATAATGGATCTAAATGGTTCCAAGAAACTTATTTTTGCGAAGACGTGCTTATTCCTTCATGCAAACAAGTCAAAGTAAGAAATTTCATATTTTCATAAGTGTGATGCTAAAAAGTATGAATATGTATAAAATGATGTACAAAATGCTCTATTAATCTGGTGAAGATGGTTTATAAATCAAACATAAAATAAATAAATAAATAATAATTAAATGCACTAAGGTTGATTTCAAAATATGATAATTTAGTGGATTATACATGAATTCTCTCTAAACAAATACTTAAAAAAAAATGATGAATAAGCCAAGCACAAAATTAAATCTAGAAATCCACAAAAAATCAATGAACATAAAAGAAACTTCAAGTTTTATATGATGCAAATCATGCCACTACTTCATGCCCTAAACACTATAGAGTTTCATGCCCTATCAAGTGCAACCTATGATACATTACTTTAGGGCTTTTAAGGATTGGGGAACATATGGGCTTTGGTCATAATTGTAATTTTATGATATTTTTTACAACAAAATGACCCAATCTAAAGGCCCTGGTCTTAACCACTTGTATTATCATTTGGCTACAAGATCATCGGTTAGAGAATGTGTGTTACGTCTTTATTAGTAAATAATTATTTGAGAATGAATCATAGCGATATGCTTAACAAGTCATTTATTCTTTATGAGTTAAGATTATTCTCAAATTTATCACATTCGACAAATTGTTATGAAGGTTGAATAAATTTTACTTTACATTTTAAGTGATAGATTTCACTTAAAAAAAAATTTTACATGTCATAATTTAAAAAAAAATAAATTATATTCTTTGAGATTAAACCCGAAATAATTTATGCTGGTATTTCAGGGTATTTTGAGTGTAAGGCCCCTTCTAGTTAATAGTTTCTATCAATGCCGTCATCATCGAGGAATTTAAATATTTTATTTTGTTATCTGAACCTTGTCAGCTCAATCCACTTTCTAACAAAAGGATCAAATTTGAGTATTAATTTTGCAAACTATCATATGAGTGGTGAACTCAAGTTCTTATTTTATGAAAGACATTGAAGGCCTAATGAGTACATGAAATTGAATGATTTCATAAAATTGAATGACTTGTGATGTTAGTTTATTTGAACTGACCAGTGCAGACCGACCATTACACTCATGGTATTAATTTATCTGAATGTGACACTATTTCGAAGTTGCTTTGTTCTGTCACAAATTTTTTCTTGCAATGCTAAAGTGCCTTACAATGACAAATCATTTTCTCTCACTAGGCTCTAATTTATTGTTTGCTTCAATTAATTTAACTTCGTTCTTTCATTGCTTGCTTATGGTGGCACTATATCAACATAAAAATCTCAGATTTTAGTTGGAATATTTCATGGATGAATGCTTATATTGATACTTTTTGGTGGCAGATTCTGAGCTGCCTCTATGACAAGGAAATTTTATCAGAGGAAGCAATTTTATCGTGGGCACAAGAGAAAGAAGGTGCTGATGAGTCTGATAAGATTTTTACTAAGCAATCAGAACAGTTCATTAAGGTACGTATTGAAAGCGCTTCATGTCAAGTTTTTCATTTTCCTTCATATTTTTTGTTGCCGCAGAGCTTTATGCCAGTTTACTAAATTTAACTATATTTTTCTGTTAAGGTTATTTGTTTTTACTTATATGCACTCCTTATGTTGTGTTTAAGGCATGAATATGACAATTGTCGTTGTTCGGCTTGTTGAAGCAGCAAAAAAGCGCAAATTAAGGTTTTGTTTGGGATAGCTTTCGTACTGCTCCATAAAAATCTTTTTAGTACAAAAATTTCTTGAATTAGAAAATTTTATACGAGAAAGTTATTTTAAGAAGCAGTAGAAAGCTGTCACAAATGAAGCCTAAGATTTCCTTTGAGATAACTGTTTTACTGCTTTGCCTTTAAGACTATAATCATAATTTTTATTTGGCCACGATTTTTTGGCTTCTTTCAACAAATGTTTCTATAACAGTTGTATTTTTTTTTATCACGGCTTTACAGAGCAGTAAAAAAATATTCCCACAGGTAGCTGAAACCACCACTTTAATCTGTGCTAGATGTGAGATTTTTCTGCTGCATGTTGAAGTATTGTTTTGGCTTTGCAGTTCCGTTTCTGAATTTCTGCTGGAAAAAACTATTTTAGATTTGAGAAATCAAACAAGTGACCATTTATAGGGTATGATTATGCAGATGATGCTTCAAGAGATGAATTAGAATAAAGATGATAGGATCTTTGTTATTGATTGAGACATTAAGGAAAGATTAAACCATTCTTTTGAAAAATTAATGAAAAAAGTGTTTTGATTGAAAATTATTTTGGAAGAGCATAAAGAATAAAATAATGAAATTTATTATAGTAGCTTTACGGTCACCTTTCTAAAAAGTTGCAGTCATTAGGAATGAATTCTTAGTCTAAAAGTTTATGACATTTATCTTAGTAGCAATAGTTTAGATTAGGAGATGATTATACTATTATTTGCTCATTGTGAATGGTAGGGGAATTAGGGGTATAAGTGAGCCGAGCCGTGAGTCTGCTCGAGCTCGACTTATTTATAAGCTCGTGAGCCGAGCTTATCGAGCCAGGAGCTCGAGATCAAACTCGAGCTTGATCAAGACTCAGCTCGAGTGCCGGCTCGAAATTATTAAATTTGAATATTTAAAATAATAATAATAATAATAATAAATGCTATATAGGCCACTCTGCAGTTTTAGAATTTTGCCTATATTTTAAATTCCCTCGTGTGTTTTAAAATTCCTAAGCGAATAACGATGAATCCATAAAGGTTTTATAATTTTGTCTGCCCAACTTGCAATGTGTCATTGTACCAAAAGAAATGTCGTTGTTTCACACACATGGTGAATTATTACCGGACGTTCGGATATCTAATACAGATGCGCAACGTCACCCAAATACAGTGGGACCTGCTGTATTTTGATGATGTGGCGCGTCTGAATTTGTGTCCGGACGAATCTGGACACTGGACGTAATAATTTGCCCACACTCCCACACACTCTCTCTCTCTCTCTCTTCTTTCAATTTTGCCAAATTCATAATAGTTCGATTGTGACATAATTTTGATAATTCAAAAATAAATTTTGCTTGTTTGTTCTATTAATAAGAATATTTTGATGATATGTGCATTAATATTTATCTTCTAACACATATGTTTATTTATTTATATTAATTTATTTTTCTATTTTCTAATTCAGTGGTTAAGAGAAGCTTCAGAGGAAGAAGATGGAGATAACGATTGAACAAAGTTGTGGTTGGTCTTCAAAGAGCCATTAAAGCATCTCCATTTCATTGGATATCCGAAGCTCAATGTCTCAATGTTATGCCGAAACCCTCTGTATTTTTTTTTTGTTAAAATTTCCGATATGCAACTGATAAGCGATTTTTGAAAAGAATATAAGTCTTAAGGATTTTCCTTTTTATTATTTTCCTTTGTATTATAATCAGAAGCCTCGCGTTGATAAGAATTCGGTTCCATGAGAAATTAAGCAATAAGCTATCGAATTGGTATTATTAAACCTACAAAAATAAAAATAAAAATAAAAATGATGGCGTTAAAAATAAATAAAAATAAAAATGATGGCGTTACAAGATAAATTTATAACACCACATCTGAGGTTTAGTTTGGGAGAGTTTTTTTTTTTTTTTTTAAAAAAATTTTTTAGTACAAAATTTTTTAGTTTAAATTGTATTAAAAAGTTGTTTTAGAAAGCAGTAAAAAAACTAACACAATGTATATTTTTTTTAAGGAAATTTTTGTATTAAAAATTTATTTTTTAAAATAATAAGAAAGTCATCTCAAATGAAGCCTAGCATGTATTTGTACATAAATTCTTTAAATTAAGATTAATTATTTTTTTTAAAAAAAAATTAATTTACTCGAAATATTCAAAATGTCACCGTTATTTACCAGTTTTTTAAAATCATTATATGTTGATATTTGTAACTAATTTCTTGAGATTAGAATCAACTATTTTTTTATTTTTTATTTGTTTGCTATTTTTTAAAATTATTTATAATTAATAATAACACCGTTAATTACTTAATTATTTTTAAGAATACTTAAGTCAGATTAATTATTTTTTTATTTTTAAATACTTTTATTTTTAATATGTTTTTATAAGATATTATAAAAGAAGCAAATAGGATAAAAAAAAATTGATTAAGTGTGCAACATCTGCCTCATAAACAACCAAAAAAGTCAGTTTATATTAAAAATTGATTTTAGCATTGTTTTATGATGCAAGAATATTTAATCATTTAATTATTTCAAGGAATCATAATGTATTGTTTTAATCTTCTAATATGACCTCGCCTTTTCAGTGGCGTAAAGGAAGTGTGAGCTCGGCGCCGATAGGTGATCTTTGTAGATTCTTCCCAGAGATTAATTATTACGATAAGCGCTCTTTTTAAAGCTACAGAAGATAAATATTTCGTTAAAAAAAAAAAGTCATATATATATTCTATGTAATATTAAAGTCTATGTAAAATTGTATTATTTATATATAGCCAAATCTCAAGAACATATCATGCTTCCAGATTCCTGAATATGATTATGGAACAGCAAGCTTTCCTCTTCCTCTTCCTCTTCCTCTTCTCCTCCCTTCTGCTCAAAATCCTGCTAAAAGCTAATAAATCAAAAGGAAAGAACCTCCTTCCATCTCCATGGCGCCTCCCCATCCTCGGCAATCTTCACCTTCTCAATCCCAACAAACTTCACCACTCCCTCCTCAGTCTCTCAAACAAGCACGGCCCTCTCATACTCCTCCACCTCGGCTCCATCCCCACCATCGTCATCTCCTCCCATGACATAGCCGAGGAGATCTTCACCAAACATGATATCGCTTTCTCCGGCCGCCCTCTCCTTACAGGGCCTCAAAAGCTCTTCTACAACTGTTCCAGCATCACCTTCTCTACATATGGTGAACACTGGCGTCAAGCTCGCAAGATCGTCATGCTCGAGCTTCTTAGCACGCGCCGCGTTCGATCTTTCGAAACGATTAGAGTGGAGGAAATCAAGAAGTTTATAGCTGCTATCAATGATCTCTCGATCGCTAACTTGAGCGAGCTCACGCTTTCACTTGCAAACAATATTTTGTGCCGAGTGGCGCTTGGAGATAAATTTGCAGAGGGAGGATATGGAGGAGAAGGGGGAGTATGGCTTCATCAGTTGCTTAAGGAGTCACAGAGATTTCTTGGCGGATTTTTTGTGGCGGATTTCTTTCCAGCTTTGAAATGGGTTGATAGATTAGTAGGCTTTCAAGGAAGGATAGAGAAGAACTTCGAGAAGGTGGACAAGTTTTTTGATAGAGTTATATCAGAGCATATTAAGAAAGAGAAAGAAGAAGAAGATGAGAGAAGTAATAATATTAATGGTTGTGGTGAGGAGGAGGATATGGTGGATATTTTGTTGAGGTTGCATGAGGTTGCAGTTGTTCATGGAGGTTTTCTGAGCAGCATGGATCATGTGAAGGCCATCTTATGGGTAAGTTGGTGATCTCCTTTATGATGAATGTGTCAAAAAATATTTATGATTAAGAAATATTGAATATATAGCTATTGGTTAGTAAAATAATCAAAGTAATATGTGATAGAATAGATGAACTAAGCAGTTCTTTTTGAAGCTATTAATGTTTGTAGGAGGATAAGTGTGTAGTGAAATTAATATGATAGGAAAATAAAATCTTTAATCAGTGATTATAAGCCATACATCTCATATCCCAATAGTTTTTAGCTTCAATAATGCTGAAGTACTTTTGATCACATAAACTATTAATGGGTCCAAACTGTCTGAGTCCATCAATCATGTGAGAGTGGTACTTTTGATTCTTTCTATTTAATATTTTTGTGATTTGGTTTGTCATTATTGATGGATTTTATTTGTGAATTTAGCAATTAGATGATAGCTTAAAAGTAAGAATATTATATTGAGTATTTGTCCTATTATGCATATATGGTCAGGAATCATTTTTAGCCGCAACAGATACATCATCTGCAACAATAACATGGACGATGACCCAGTTGATGAAGAACCCTAGAGTTATGAAAAAGTTGCAGGAAGAATTGAAGCAAGCTACTAATGGTGATACACTGAGACTCATTCAAGAATGTGAACTCGAAAAGCTTCCATATCTCAAACAGGTCATAAAGGAATCCATGAGAATAAAACCTCCTGTTCCTCTTCTGCTTCCACATGAAACCATTCAGTCATGCCAAATCCAAGGGTATGATATCCCTGCCAAAACACGTGTTATCTTCAATATCTTGGCTATTTCCATTGATCCAAATGTTTGGGAGAAGCCACTTGAGTTCTTGCCTGAAAGGTTTGAAGGAAGCAAAGTGGATTTCAAGGGACAAGATTTTGAGTTTTTGCCCTTTGGATCTGGAAGGAGAAAGTGCCCTGGGATTAACTTTGCGATGGTGATAGTTGAACTTGCGTTGGCTAATCTCCTCCACTGTTTTGATTGGTCAGTGCCTGATGGAATGAAGATTGAAGATATCAACATGGATGAGAACATTGGACTCACAACACATAAAAAAGAGGCACTTTGCCTAGTTGCTAAATCGAAGTGGTGAGGAAGAAGAAAACCCAATCATTTGATATGTATGGAAGATGATGCTTTTTTTTTTTTAAATAAAGCAATGATCTTATATTGATTTTAGAGGGCAATATCTAGTGTAACTATAATTGATATAAGCTCCATATATTATGAATACATTCATGTACAAGTCTTAGAATCATTGAGCCTATAAGACAGTTCTAAAAGTGGAGTTTTTCTAAGTAGCATAGATCATGTGAAGGCCATCTTATGGGTAAGTTGAAGTTCTCTTGAACATAGCAGTTCTTTTTGAAGCTATTAATGTTTGCAAGAGGATAAATGTGTAGTGAAATTAAAATGATAGGAAAATAATTTATTCAATGATAAATTACTAAAAAATATATGAATCAAAACTACAAATAAAAATTTTCACTCAGTTGATTATAAGCCACATCCCAATAGTTTTTTGCTTCAATAATGCCTAACTACATTTTGATCAGATAAATTATTGATGGGTCCAACCTATATGATCTCATCAATCATGTGAGAGTGGTACTTTTGATTCTTTCTGTTTGATTTTCTTTTCTAATCTTCTAAGTGTTCACTTTGTAGTTTGGTTTGATTTATTTTGTTTAGAAATTTGTTGTATAGCTCCAAAAGAGACACATTGAGGAATTATGAAAGAACAAAAGTGATGAAATGGCATTATTTGATTTTACAATGAAGGGCTATTTTTTCAGCATTGTTGTGATTTGATTTGACATTATTGTTGGACTTTAATTGTGAATTTAATAATTAGATAATAGCCTAAAAGTAGGAATATTATATTGAGAATTTTTCCTATTATAAACTTATGATTATGAATCATTTTTAGCTGAAGCAAATACATCATGAGCAACAATAATATGGACGGTGACCCAATTGATGAAGAACCCAAGAGTAAAAAAAAAATTGCAGGAAGATTTGAAGCAAGCCACTAATGATAGTACATATAGCCTCATTCAAGAATGTGAACTCGAAAAACTTTAATATCTCAAACATACCATAAATGAATTAATGAGACTAAAACATCATGTTCCTCTCTTTCTTCCATGTGAAACCATTCGGCCTTGCCAAATCCAAGGATGTGATATCCTTGCCAAAAACATGTGTTATCTTCAATATCATGGCAATTTCCATTGATATCCAAATGTTTGGGAGATGCCACTTGAATTCTGGCCTGAAAGGTTTGAAGGAAGCTAAGTGGATTTCAAGGGTTAGGATTTCGAGTGTTTTTCCTTCTGATAAAAAAGGAGAAAAAATGCCCTAGGATCTACTTTGCAATGGTGATCGTTGAGGTTGCATTGGCTAACATGCTCCACTGTTTTGATTAGTCAATGCAGGATGGAATGAAAGCTAAAGATATCAACATGGAGGAGAACCTATATAGATGGAATGGTATACCAACATGTAAACGTTAAGGAGGATTATGAGAGTAAAGAGTAAGATGAGAAAGTTAGATTCCTGAGACTAATACTCAATGGCATGTGATTATGCAGCTATATAGCTTTGATCAGAGTTTATAATTTTGAATTGATAAGTTTTCAAAGATCAACTTGATCATGCATGAATCTCAATACATATTTGAAATGAAAACTTTCATAATTGAATTCACAACCATTCAAACTCTAATTTCAATGAACTTATAGTCAAAGTGAACATCTCGATGAAGTGATCCAATCTGACTCAAAATGAGCCAAATTATGCACTTAAAAGTCGTAATTAGAAACTTTGGGAAATTAATTAGAGGACCAAATTACATTAACTGAGCGCCTTGACGAGATGAATTGCATCAGCACCTAATTCTGACATCACTAAGGAACTTAAATTGAAAAAAGAACTATCAGTGATTGATGAAATCAATACGGGCCATCTAATCGAGTATTATGAATTTTGGTTCTCAATTCTACATGAAAGGGGATCTTGGAACTTTGGCTTAACATTCAAGGTAGCTTAGAGTCTACAAAAATCTCATAGCTCCACCCAAGCACCGCTAATGCTCCCGGGACTAACATCATTGACTACAATCCTCCAATTACAATCCCTAGACTATGGTTCTTTAATCACCATGATTCGACTACGAACCTTTGGCCATTATCATCGACTATTATTCTCAAACCATAATCAGCCAACTACGAACATTTGGCTATCATTGTGTAACTGCGGACCTCCAACCATCATTTCACCAATATGGTTCTATGATAGTCATCCCTTAATTACAATCTTCCGATCATGATCATCCAACTATGATCCTTAGACCATTATTTCCTGATGATAGTCTTCTAATCGACATCATCCAACTTCATTTCACCAGCCATTGTCACTTAATTATAGTTCTCTGACCACCATTACCCGACTATGCCACCTCCGACCATCATTTCTAGAAAATCATCCTTCAACCAATTAATGTCTCCGAACTACGATCATTCTCCCATTGTATGATGATGACAACTCCTGCTTATTTTATTGCTTGTCATCATTAGTAGAATCGGTGCATGACATCACCTACGAGGTTGATGCATATTGTAATAATTAAAATTTATATTAGGCCTTTTGGTCTTTGGTCTCCGTCCCCTCCTCAAAGAAGAATATGTCCTATGTCACATGGCTTTTCCAACCTCCATAAAAAAATTTGTTCTATGTAGTTTAGCTAAACTTTTTATATTAACACATTTCCCAATCGTGACGAAAGGCGTTATTTGTGAACGATGATAAACTTTAGATGTATAGTTTCTATTGGGTAATTCATCGGGGTTTTCCCTTTTTCAAGTATTTCATGTAAAAACTACAATGCGTCTTTTAACTCATCATTTATCTATATGTATAATGAATCTTCGTACAATAATAAAATATTAATCTCTCTCTACTATCAAATACATTATGGCAGGCAAAAACAATTAAATCTGAGCTTTCATCTTGTTAAAATTATATATTAGTTCATACAAAGTAAAAAAAAAAAAATCACTTCATTAAAATTTTGAGGATTTGTTGACCTTCACTCTGCTTGGATTTTGAGTTCCATGTCTTTATTCTTTAAGTGTTCTTGATTGTTCGGCCGCATGGAGGCCTCTTCCCGATTCTGAAGAGAAGATGACGACGGCTTCGGCCGTCGCTTTTCAAGCCTATTTCCCATATCTAATTCGTTCTCTTAAGAATTCATCCTCTCTTGCTTCCGTCACCTCGGCACATTCCAAGTTCCTCAAGGCCGGCATTATCGCCGGCACTACGACGGCCAACCACTTCATCAACGGTTACTTGAGGTGTGGCTCAGTATCCTCTGCGCAGCAGATGTTCGATGAAATGGCTGAACCGAACGTTGTCTCCTGGACTTCGCTTATGGCTGGTTATGTTGACGCTGGGCAAGCAAACCAGGCCATCTTCATCCTGCAGGCAATGCCCATGGATGGGATCGAACCGAACTCCTTCACCATTTCCACAGCCATTAATGCCTGTTCCCAGCTTGCCAATGTTCGGGTTGGCAGGATTCTTCATGCCCGAATAGAGCTTCGAGGCCTGCAATCAGACGTCGTGGCGTCCACCTCATTGATTAACATGTATGGGAAAACCAACGACGTATCTGCTGCACGACAAGTGTTCGATGGAATGTCTCAAAGAAATATTTACAGCTGGGGCACAATTATATCCGTATACGCGCAGAATGCCTGTGGTAACGAAGCGTTATATCTGTTTAGAAAGTTTTCATCGAAGATGCGCCCCAACCATTTCATGCTTTCAAGCGTTATTAATTCCTGCGCGGGCTTAGGAAGATTTGGACCAGGGCGATCAGTCCACGCAGCTGTGATTCGTTTAGGCCATGAGGGCAATGATGTCATCGCTGGAGGGCTGATTGACATGTACGCCAAATGCGGCTGTGTTGAGTACTCCCGCGTAGTCTTTAACCATATAGCAGTTCCTACCCTCATACCTTTCACATCCATGATCGCTTCGGCGGCAAGGCATGGCCTTAGTGGCCTTGCTCTCTCACTGTTTGATGATATGCTTGATTTAAGAATTCAGCCAAATAGCATCACTCTACTTGGTGTACTCCATGCCTGCAGCCACTCCGGTCTCAGTGATATCGGCCTCAGCTGCTTCAATTCAATGCACCACAACTATGGCATCCCTCCGAATGCAAAACATTACACTTGTGCGGTTGACATGTTGGCCCGTGCTGGGCGGATAGATGAGGCCCTCATGCTAGCTTGCCAGGTCGATGCTTCCGGACACGATGGGTTGATGCTATGGAGTGTGCTGGTCTCAGCTGCCCGGATGAAAGGGCGGCTCGATGTGGTGGAGAAGGCGAGCGCACAAATGTCTAAGCTTGAGCCTGGACAGCATGATGTTGCTGGCATCTATGTTGCTATGTCGAATGCCTACATTTCAGCAGGGAAGTTAGATGGCGCTTGGAGGGTTCGAAAAGAGATGCAGCGACGAGGGGTCAGGAAGGATCCTGGGTGTAGTTGGATTGAGGTAAAGAACTTGGTTTTTGTCTTCTATGCTGGGAATATTGTGGCTTGCCCGAGGAAGGAAGAGGTGATGGGATTGTTGAGAAAGTTGGAAGAGAGAATGGCTGCAGAGATGGGTTATAAGAGAAGTTTTAGTAGTTATGTAGAGTTTGATAATGATGGTTTGGGAGTGGAAAGCTTGATGGCTGGGGTTCATAGTGAGATGCTGGCTATGGCATTTGGGATCTTGAGTTTTCCTAATGGACGTAAGATTAGAATCATGAAGAATTTGAGGATGTGTGGGGAGTGCCATCTGGTGTTTAAGATGGTGAGCAAGATAGAGGAGAAGGAGTTTGTGGTTAGGGATCTGAATAGATTTCATCATTTCAAGGATGGGATTTGTAGCTGTATGGATTATTGGTGAAATGGCTTTGTTATGTTGTGAATCTGATGAAAGCAAAGAAAGGTTTTTGTCAATAAAAAGGGTCAAATACGGTTTTCGTATTCCTACCAGACTCTACAAGACACGGTTTTCGTATTCCTACCAGACTCTACAAGACAGTAATTTTCTTGTCAAACCCCCTCCTCCCCAGCAAGCCCCCCAAATCTCCTCAGCAGCCATACTTTTCATTTTCAGCTGAAGAACAGGCAATTCTCCTGGAGAAAATAATGAAATCAGCCCAGGATACCTGCACAAAACTCTTCCATGAATTTGAAGATAGGCTGAGCAGGAAGATTAAGCAACTAGTTAAAAGAGTGCAAGTAATTGATGGCAAGCTCAACCATTGTTAACTGTCAGCAACCATTTTATCCTGAGCAACAACTCGCTCCCTCCTCCTCATCCTGCCAGTAACCAATCCAAAATAAAAGGATACTTTTCATAGTCCAACTAAAGCAGGAAGCCCAAGACGAACCAAATTTTCCTTACCCCAGAAAAACCAGATATATATCCCTGCCCCAGAAAAACCAGATATCCCTGCACAAGACAAACCAAATATCCCTGCCCTAGAAAAACTAGATATCCCTGCCCAAGACAAATAGATATCCCTACCCAAGCTTCTAATGAGTCAGAAGAGTATATTATAAAATTTAAGAGAAAGGTGAATGTGAAGAAGCAGAAATTAGATATCCCTCCCCCAACCCAAAATGATCCAATCGACGTTGAGGGCGTTGTAATAATTGCTCAACCTGTAAATACAATAATGGAATACATAGGCAGCGACATATTGTGTTAGAACAAAAAATTTCTAGATGAAGGCTTTATGAAGTTTACTGCCAAGTAAATTCTATAAGACTATGTTATTACTTATTAATTTCATTTTGTTAGTTTTTTTTTTTTTGGTATATATTGAGATGCTTAATGACTTATATACTGGGTTTTAACTGCATAAATAGCTGTGTAATGCGTAACATATGCATATTTTATGCGTAATTACTGTGTAATGTGTATTTTATGCTTATATACTGCATAGTTTATACGTAATTACTACTTGTTCTATGCTTATTTACTGTGTATTTTATGCATGAATCATACAGTATTTTCTTCTGGGAACATTATTATAATTTATAGAAGTGGCATTGATGAATTATTATCCGATACTTACCTTGATAATAATCATGGAGATGCCTTCACCATTTTATTAGATGAGAAGAGTAAATTTTGCCCTAATAAGTATTATAATTTTCTATACGTCTCGCTACTGTATTGGGTTAGTATACATGTTTAATTTCTATATAATATTTTTAGAAGTTTCATTTATTATTTCTTATATTTACTTCTTGATAGTTACAAGGCGAGAAACCCACTGACGAAATTGTTTATCGAACATATAAATAATGAAGCTGTTAAGTCATGCAACATTCTACTTCAACTGGTTATTAACGGTGTGCACTAGACCCTTCTAGTTGGGAGGATGCTGAAGGAAAAAAAGTGGTAGTTTTACGATTCTTTGCCCAACCCCATGCATAAGAGTATTCTTCCAAAGATCGTAAGTGTGAGATCATGTGTTAAATTTTGTTCAATTTTCTGAAATTTACTAGTGAACTAATATATGTTCCATGTATCGTTCAGATTAGAGCCTTCTATAAGGACACGAAAGGAGCTTTTGATAATGATATCACACAATGGAAGATCCAGCCTATCAAGGGTGTGCCAACTCAGACTAGAATATATATTGCAGACTGTTTGTTTGCTAATACATAGAAAAGATTATTTTTAAAGGCGATACCAAGTAGGCTGAAAGTAAAAATTGGCAAGAAGAAATTCCAAAAAATATAGGGTGGAATTCGCATATGCATTGTTTTCTTCATCATTAAAATGAACTTTTTCTGTTCATATTTTTTACAAAGTCTATAATTGTATAATGTACAATTTAATTTTTTTTTTTGCATAATTTTTATTAGTCTTTCATTTATTTTCTCTATAAAATATAACTTCTATACTATGTAAAATAAAAAGTATTGTAAAAGATACGCAGCATATCAGAAGATACACAGCCGTAAAAATATAGTTACTACAAATTATTTAAAATAGAACTTGATTCATTTGAAACAGCCTGAAAATTGTTTACTGACGAATGTGATAGATTTTTTAAATCTTGGAACAAGCAAGACCAACCAAACTCATTTTGTGTATGTTGCAAAGCTTGTGGAGAGATTGACAAATGACCATTTGCTCTATTGTGCAAATTCCTAAAATTGGAAAGTCATCATCACACATTTCTTAAGATAATCAAATCATATCAAACTTGATTGAAGTCCATAGTATTAGGATGGGGGCTGATTTAGGAGGGAGGGAGAAAGCCTATTTAAGTCCATAGTAGAGTTTTGTTTTATTCTTACGCAAAATTTTGTCTTGAGCATTGTAGTTTTCTTTTGTGAGGGATCCTAGCAGCATCTACGGTTTGGGAGAGAAGATCCTCCTCTTGAAAGATTATCAATTGTATCTTGCTTCATGTTATTTAATATCCTACCTATAAAATTTTGTTATTTTGCTGAAATTTACTGTTGTTTGCTGAGTTTTGTGTTTCAAGATGTATCAGCTTGACTCAATCATACTTCTAAGAGATGATCGTATTAAGAACTGTATATGTCATGTAGTGTTTTAGTTACTTTGATGAGTTTGGTTTACTTCTTCCAATTGTTTGGTTTCAACTCTGCAATTCTTAAGTTCAATTATATCTAAAATCTGATTACTTATTTCAACACTTTAAGTAACTCTTTCGTATCTCTATTTCACATGAATTGTTTTTAATTTAAATGTGTGTTTGATTGATTGAGATCGTCATTCTTATTACGTTCTGATTTTCTTTTTTTTGTAGTTTGAATTTTAATTGTTATGAATTTTTTTGTATTTGTTTTAGATTACTGTGGAATTCTATAGTTTAGCAAGTTTTATATCATAATTTAGTTATTCGTATAAATTTCCTGAAAGTTTTTGATTAAACGTTGGGAGGTTTAACTATGAACGATGACCTTGTTCTTTAGGAATGATTTTGTTTCGTCATTGTTAGAGATTTAGAACTTCTAAGATTGATTGCATAATCTTCGGATTTTGTCATTCTAATTCAGTTTGTATGGCAGCCTTTGTCAGTGAGCTAGATCTGAAGGTGCTCTTTTTAGCTGCCTTTGTCAGTGGGAACTGGCTCTATACATGTTTAGCACTTAGCAATGACCATTGGCTTTGTCTTCTAAACTTGGTTTGGGCTGTGAAAAGCTAACAATGTATTTGAATGCATTTGCACCATCAATAAGTTCAAATAAGGCATTTTCAAAATTTTATGATGGTGCCATGCATATGGCTTAGCGTATCAGCACTAAGGATTCATTTGAGACGACTTTTTTGTTGCTTTTTAAAGCAGCTTTCTAGTACAAAAATTTAAATTTTGAAACTCGTAGCCTAAGTACTCCTAAAAATATCATCTATGAATAATTTTGAAACTAAACTGCAATATAGCTGGCTGTCCTTTTTATTTCGTTTGTATAAATTTCCTTAACTGCATGCATTTGGCTGAATTGCATGCTTTACAAGTGCTCTTCAGCTTTATGCAACTAAAACTTGAAAGAGCTTGTTGTCTTAGTACTGTCTTTTGTGTAAAAGGTGAAAGCTAAAGTCATTAAAATTTGTGTATGAAATAATTTTTAATGAGTCAGCTCATATGAATCTTTTTTTTTTAATATGTATCAAATTTATTTGAATATTGTATATTTTTTTTAAAAAACCTCTTGAAAGTAATCTATCTGCAACACACTTGAACAACTAGTTGTTTTAGTCCGACATTACTTGTTTTTCTTATGTTGTTTATATAGCTTTCTTTCTTTTCATGAGTAAAGAGTTTATATTGGGAGATGAAAATATATGAGAATAATTAATTAATGTTTATTATATAATTTTTAGAGTTTATTAACTAAAATATTCTATTTAAATTAATTTAATATTTAATAAAATAAATTAAAGTATTTAAATAAATTATGTATTGAACCGGCCGGTTTTTAAAAATCGGGACCGATTCAATAGTTCACCGGTTGAATTAGCAATTCAAATTCTTGGGCCAATTTTTCGTGATGACTAAAGCGGCCACATACTCGGTTTACAATTAATTCGGTCGAACATGCTAGTTCGGTTTGATTTTCAAAATCATGCATGTTATAGTTCTTAAAATGCAACAATCTAATCCTAGAACAACGTTTCTATATTTTTTATATTCTGCCCCTTCATCTTAAAGTTTAAAAAACTAATCAGTTATGTTGGATACATAGACTTTCACTCGAAATAATTTTACAATCTTCGCAGTGTAAATGATATATTTTTTTCTTATAAGAAAATAATCAGTTTGAGTTTAAATATATATATTCTTATAAGTAATGAGATGCTCTTCTCTTTTCTTAAATAAGGTATTAGCAATTATAAAATCATAAGTAAGAGCAAAATCTAATATAGTCTTATCACCTTTATTAGTTGCTTCAAACTCATAGTCACCATGAATACTTTTAAAATTTTCTACCTCTCTACCAACATGTCCATTCGGATATCCCACAATAAAAACTCTTTTGTCAATAAATATCTTTTGTATTAATTCTTTTAAGCTATTTTAAAATTTTAATTTTAAACACATATCCAAACCTACTTGAGTAGTACAAGTACTTTATAATATTAATAATTTTATCATCAACAATAATCTTCAAAGCTAAATTTAATATTCAATTTTATCAATTTTTACAATATTATCTATCAAACTTTTACCTATAATAACACATACACTATTTTTAGTACGACTCCTATCAAAATATCAAAATTTAAATCCTAAACTATCAATCACCTTTGCCTACTCTCTCATCCATTTAGTTTCGTGAATACATAGAATATTAATCTTCCTATGAATCGTAATATCAAATAATTTCATTATTTGCATGTAAGGGAATCTACATTCCAAGATCCTAAACTAATTTTAGTTTCATGGATTGGCTTCTTTTCCGACATTCGGATATGAGGTGAGGACCCTTGCTCATTTAACACTGCATTCAGATGTCGATGCAATGACCTTTACACACTTCTCAATGTATTCTGGACATACATTGATCCTTCCAAGAAACATCCTAGCATTAACACAATAGATTAAATAATTCATGACATGATTATTCGATAAGTTTTATGTTGGATGTTAATTACCTAACGCAACCCTTCATTTTTCTCATATAGGACTTGTGAGCTTATAATGACAATGTTAAATGAAATAATGTAACTATAATACCAAATTAATATAATTTAAATTTTATCATAGTTGTCATAAATATTATGCCATATGTTAAGAAATTATACATAAATAATGTAAACTTTTGATATTATAAGTTGTAATAACTGAACTTTTTTTAGAATGTTATATATATACATTTATGTAAATTTTACTTTGTAAAATAAAAAAAATTAATTGCATATACTTAAATTTTATAGATGGGTAATATAATCTTTTATGATAAAACCACTAAAGTTGAACTCCTAAATAAATAATTTAGATTATTTACTTTTAAATATTATTAAGCACTTAAAAAAATATTACTCAAATAACATATCATTAATAAAACTCCATTTTATTAAATTTATTTTTCTCAACATCGCTTTCCAAAGGAGGCCTTAGTCTATTAAGTTTTATGACTTTTATCTTAGTAGCAACAATTTAGATTAAGAGATGATTATATTACTATTGGCTTGTGCTAAATAAGGGGAATCATCTCAAGTTGTTGCAACGCGTCGAAAACTCCAAAGAAATGTTGTTGCCACTTTCCTCTTGTCAATTTTATCAAATTCATAATAGTTCGATTGTGACTTAGTATTTCAAAAAGTATTTTTGAGTGTTTATTTTATTAACAAGATAATTCTGATGTTATTTGCATTAATATTTATCTTCCAAAGCATTTATTTATTTATGTTTTTATTTTTTAATTCAGTGATTAAGAGAAGTTTTCAGAGGAAGACGACGAAGATACCGGCTGAACAAAGTCTCATGGTTGGTTTTCAAGATGCCATTTAAGCATTTCCATACATCCGAAGCTTTTATTTTTTTTTTGTTGGTAGTTATTTTTGTTTCATAAAGGCAGGCTAATGCTTAATCTTAGGCCGGCAACCTGAGCTAAACAGATAGAATTTGACTCTATTTTATTGGATACAATGGTGGAAACAATATGAAATGCCAGAAATTGGAGCTATTATTCTGTCCGGACACCAGACAATTCTCCGGTCCAGTTACGCGTTCGGTATCGAGCGGTATCGACAGCGCGGTACAGAGTGCGGTACTATTTTGGAGCGACTTTGACGCATTTTTATTGATCTCCGAATGAATCCGAACGCTGCACGTAATAATTTTTTGCAGAAGTTAGTTTTATTTATATATAGCCAAATCTCATGAACTTATGATGCATCCTAATGTGAAGAAGAATATGGAACAGCAAGCTTTCCTCTGCCTCTTCCTCTTCCTCTTCTCCCCCCTTTTCTTCAAAATCCTGCTAAAAGCTAATAAATCAAAAGGAAAGAAGCTCCTTCCATGTCCATGGCGCCTCCCCATCCTCGGCAATCTTCACCTTCTCAATCCCAACAAACCTCACCACTCCCTCCTCAATCTCTCAAACAAGCACGGCCCTCTCATACTCCTCCACCTCGGCTCCATCCCCACCATCATCATCTCCTCCCATGAAATAGCTGAGGAGATCTTCACCAAACATGATATCGCATTCTCCGGCCGCCCTCTCCTTACCGGGCCTCAAAAGCTCTTCTACAACTGTTCCAGCATCACTTTCTCTCCATATGGTGAGCACTGGCGTCAAGCTCGCAAGATCGCCATGCTCGAGCTTTTTAGCACTCGTCGCGTTCGATCTTTCGAAGCAATTAGAAAAGAAGAAGTCGAGAAGTTTGTAACGGCTATTAAACATCTCGCAACGGCTAACTTAAGTGAGCTCACGCTTTCACTTGCAAACAATATTATATGTCGAGTGACGCTTGGAGATAAATTTGCAGATGGAGGATATGGAGGAAAAGGAGTGTGGCTTTATGAGTTGCTTAAGGAGTCGCAGAGATTTCTTGGCGGATTTTTTGTGGAGGATTTCTTTCCGGCTTTGAAATGGGTTGATAGATTAATAGGCTTTCAAGGAAGGATAGAGAAGAACTTTGAGCAGGTGGACAAGTTTCTTGATAGAGTTATATCGGAGCATATAAAAAAAGAGAAAGAAGAAGAGAGAAGTTATAATGTTAATTGTTGTATTGAGAAGGAGGATATGATGAATACTTTGTTGAAGTTGCATGAGGTTGCAGCCCTGCATGGAGGTTTTCTAAGTAGCATAGATCATGTGAAGGCCATCCTATGGGTAAGTTGGTGTTCTCTTTTATTTTATATTTTCATTTACCTTAATATATATAAAAAAAAAATTGAAATTACGTTAAGGGAAGAAAGTAATTATGATTAATGTGTCAAAAAATACTTATGATTAAGGAAGGGTATATATAGCTATTAGTTAGTAAAATAATCAAAATAATATGTAATAGAATTAAGGGTGTAAACGAGCCTTATTGAGCTTGACTCGTCAGATATATAGTCGGCTCGAACACGAGCTCATCCCACTGTAAATGAGCTCAAGCCGTTGAGCCTTGGCGGGATTCAAGCTTTAGTTTGAGCTCGAGCTCGACTTGTGAGCTTAATAAGCTCGACTCGTGAGCCCATAAACTAGCTAAGCTTGAGTTGGCTCACGAGTTGACTTGGCTCAATTACACCCCTGAATATAATAGATGAACTAATCAGTTTTTTTTTTAAGCTTCTAATGTTTGGAGGAGGTTAGATGTGTAGTGGAATTAATTAATATGATAGGAAAATAATTTATTCAATGATAAATTACTAAAAAATATAAATCAGGACTACAAATAAAAATATTCATTCAGTTGATTATAAGTCATATATCCCACATCCTAATAGTTTTTTTTTTTTTTTTTTTGTTTCAAGAATGTTGAAGTACATTATGATCACATAAACTAATAATGAGTCCAAACGATCCATCAATGATGTGAGAGTGGTACTTCATATTCTTTCTTTTTAATATTCATTTCTAACCTAATTGTTCAATTTGTAGTTTGATTTTATTTTATTTTTGTCTAACACTGTTTTAAATTTGTTGTGTAGCTCCAATAGAGAAGTTAGACAAATTGTGAAATTATGATAGAAAAAGGTGGTGATAATGGAATTCTTTGAAGAAAATTTTGAAGGACTGTTTTTTAATATTATTGGATTTTATTTGTTATTATTGTTGAACTTTAATTGTGAATTTAATATTTAGATAATAGTCTAAAAAGTAAGAATGTTATATTGAATATTTGTCCTATTATACATATATGATCAGGAAGCATTTGTAGCTGGAACAGACACATCAGCAGCAACAATAACATGGACGATGACTCAATTAATAAAGAATCCTAGAGTAATGAAAAAGTTGCAGGAAGAACTGAAGCAAGCCACTAATGGTAATACACACAGACTCATTCAAGAATGTGAGCTTGAAAAGCTTCAATATCTCAAACAAGTCATAAAAGAATCATTGAGACTAAAACCTCCTGTTCCTCTCCTCGTTCCACATGAAACCATTCAGTCATGCCAAATCCAAGGATATGATATACCTGCCAGAACACGTGTTATCTTCAATATCATGGCTATTTCCATTGATCCAAATGTATGGGAGAAGCCACTCGAGTTTTGGCCTGAAAGGTTTGAAGATAGCAAAGTGAATTTCAAGGGACAAGATTTCAAGTTTTTGCCCTTTGGATCTGGAAGGAGAAAGTGCCCTGGGATTAACTTTGCAATGGTGATTGTTGAACTTGCATTGGCTAATCTCCTCCACTGTTTTGATTGGTCAATGCCGGATGGAATGAAAGCTGAAGATATCAACATGGAGGACAACATTGGACTCACAACACATAAAAAGGAGGCTCTTTGCCTAGTTGCTAAATCGAAACGGTGAGGTAGAAGAGAACCCAATCAATTTATATGTATGGATGATGATGCATATTATGTTTTAATAAAGTTGTGATCCTATAATGATTTTAGATGTTACAAGCATCTATATGCATCATGTGTCAAATATAATGCTAAATTATTATCTTTTACTTTATTTTTTATTTGCTGTCATAATAATTGATATAAGCTCAAAGTTTTACAAAATTATGCGTATATCAGTCTTAGAATCATTGGGTCAGGAAAATAAAACTAAAATGGAATTTTTAAATTTCATTGTTTGATTTGAATGATTATAATAGCTTCTTATCTTGTTTGTTCTTTTTGCCATGAGTTAAAAATGATAACGCATTAATGTGTAAGTCTTAATGTAATTTTGTTTTTTAGCATTGGTACGTTTGATTGTATAATGGTTAGGCTATGAAGATTATGGTTATTATGATATAGCTAATTTTTTGGTTTAGTGTCGATTGTTTACTAAGATCTTAACTGTCACTCCTCTATTGCTAGATTGGAACTCCAATCTTATAGCCAAACTGAATTTGTTATAAAAAATCGACTTGATCGGGCATGAATCTCTATACATATTTGAATTAAAACTTTGATGATTGAATTCAAGATCATTCAAATTCTGATTATAACAAACGTACTTATGCGTTAAACTGAAGTCTCGATAAGATGAACTATTGACATCTAAAGCGATCTGTTCTGAATCCAAGTGAATCAAATCAAATACTTAAAATTATAATTAAATTTTTTGGGACATTAATTGAAGGACGAAATGACATTTAAATCTTGCGTGTTTATAGTCAAATTAAGTGTCTCGACAGATGAATTGCATTTGTCTAAAATTACCTAATCAAAAAATCATTAAGGAACTTAAATCCTGAAAGAATTATCTATGATTAATCACTCAAAAATCTAATATAGTCTTACCACCTTCATTAATCACTCCAAACCCATAACCACTTATTACTTTTAAAAGCATCTACCTCTCTACCAACATATCCATTTAAATCTCTTCCAATAAAAACACTTTCTTCAAGAGGTATCTTTTGTATTAATTCTTCTAAGTTATTCCAAAATTTTAATTTTGAACTCATATTCAAACCTACTTGAGGAGCATAAGCACTTATAATATTAACAATCTTAGCATCAACAATAATCTTTAAAGCTATAATTCTATCTCTAATTTTATTAATTTTTATAATATTATCATTCAAACTTTTATCTATAGTCACACATACACCATTTCTTGTATGTCTCCTACCCAAATATCATAATTTAAATCTTAAACTATTAATCTCTTTAGCCTTCACTGTAACTCATTTTGTTTCCTGAATGTATGTAATATTTATCTTCCTATGAATCATAATATCTATTAATTTCATTAATTTCCCTGTAAGGGAATTTATATTTCAAGTTCTTATCCTAATTTTAATATCGCGGACTAGCTTCTTTACCCACATATATCCCTTATGTGGAAACCCTTGCCTATTTAACACTGCACTCGGGCGCCAATGCAGCGGCCCTTGCACACTTGTTGATGTATTCAAGTCATACAGCGTGTCGCTTCCAGGGGACACTCTAGCATTAACACAATTTTTTAAAGTATTCATGTCATGATTATTCGACAAGTTTTATGTTGTTTTTTTTTTATAAGTTTTATGCTGGTTGTCATCTACCTAATGCAACCCTCTACTTTTCTCATCCAGGACTTGGGACCTGACAACGGGAGTGTTTAGCCAATACAATAACATAGGAATAAAATTTGATAAAATTTCATGATATGATAAGATGTTGTCAATGATAAAATTTTGAAATATAGTTGTGATTTGTTGTTCATCCTTATCATTCTTTTTTTTTTTTTCAATGTAGAGGTTTCAATTATATGCCAGAACACGTGTTATCTTCAATATCATGGCTATTTCCATTGATCCAAATGTATGGGAGAAGCCACTCGAGTTTTGGCCTGAAAGGTTTGAAGATAGCAAAGTGAATTTCAAGGGACAAGATTTCAAGTTTTTGCCCTTTGGATCTGGAAGGAGAAAGTGCCCTGGGATTAACTTTGCAATGGTGATTGTTGAACTTGCATTGGCTAATCTCCTCCACTGTTTTGATTGGTCAATGCCGTATGGAATGAAAGTTGAAGATATCAACATGGACGACAACATTGGACTCACAACACATAAAAAAGAGGCTCTTTGCCTAGTTGCTAAATCGAAGTGGTGAGGAAGAAGAGAACCCAATCAATTTATATGTATGGATGATGATGCATATTATGTTTTAATAAAGTTGTGATCCTATATTGACTTTAGATGTTACAAGCATCTATATGCATCATGTGTCAAATATAAATTATTATCTTTTACTTTATTTTTATTTGTTGTCATAATAATTGATATAAGCTCAAAGTGTTACAAAATTATGCGTATATCAGTCTTAGGCTTCGTTTGGGACGGCTTTTTTATTGCTTTCTAAAAAAATTTTGTAGTAAAACTCCGTTTTAGAAAGCAATAAAAAAGCCGTCCCAAACGAAGCCTTAGAATCATTGGGTAAGGAAAATAAAACTAAAATGGAATTTTTAAAATTATTCAGATAATCAGTGTAGCTGCTCAATCTCAGTTTATATAGTTAGTTATTTTAAATTTCATTGTTTGATTTGAATGATTATAAGAGCTGCTTTTCTTGTTTGTTCTTTTTGCCATGAGTTAAAAATGATAACTTATTAATGTGCAAGTCTTAATGTAAATTTTTTTTTAGCATTGTTACGTTTGATTGTATAATGGTTAGGTTATGAAGATTATGGTTGTTATGATATAGCTAATTTTTTGGTTTAGTGTTGATTGTTTACTAAGATCTTAACTGTCACTCCTCTATTGCTAGATTGGAACTCCAATTTTATAGTCAAACTGAATTTGTTATAAAAAATCAACTTGATCGGGCATGAATCTTACATATTTGAATTAAAACTTTGATGATTGATGAATTCAAGATCATTCAAATTCTGATTATAACAAACTTATGCGCTAAACTGAAGTCTCGATAAGATGAACTATTGACATCTAAAGCGATCCGTTCTGAATCCAAGTGAATCAAATCAAATACTTAAAATCATAATTAAAAATTATGGGACATTAATTGAAGGACCAAATGACCTTTAAATCTTGCGTGTTTATAGTCAAATTAAGTGTCCTGACAGATGAATTGCATTTGTCTAAAATTACCTAATTAAAAAAATCATTAAGGAACTTAAATCCTGAAAGAATTATCTATAATTAATCACTCCAAAATCTAATATAGTCTTACCACCTTCATTAATCACTTCAAACACATAACCACTGAATACTTTTAAAAGCATCTACCTCTCTACCAATATATCCATTTAAATCTCCTCCAATAAAAACACTTTCTTCAAGATTTATCTTTTGTATTAATTTTTCTAAGTTATTCCAAAATTTTAATTTTGAACTCATATCCAAACCTACTTGAGGAGCATAAGCACTTATAATATTAACAATCTTAGCATCAACAATAATCTTTAAAGCTATAATTCTATCTCCAATTTTATTTATTTTTATAATATTATCCTTCAAACTTTTATATATAGTCACACCTACACCATTTTTAGTATGACTCCTACCTAAATACCATAATTTAAATCTTAATATATTAATTTCCTTAGCCTTCTCTTCGACTCATTTAGTTTCCTGAATATATGTAATATTTATCTTCCTATGAATAATAATACTATTAATTTCATTAATTTTCATGTAAGGGAATATATATTCCAAGTTCTTATCCTAATTTTAATATCTTGGACTAGCTTCTTTGCCCATATATGTCCCTTATGTGGAAACCCTTTGACACCGGCCAGGTAGGGGGCTCGACGAATCCACGTCGATGATCCGGTGACGGTCGTCGGACACCGCTCCAAGCACTTCTTGGAGGAAAGATCCACCACCTAAGAATCACTCTTAGGATACAGGAAAACACATGAGACTAAACTCAAATTTTATTCATATCAAAATATATCCCCATTACAAGACAATGACTACCTATTTATAGCCAAAAGGGAAGCATCATACTAAGCTACACAAACAAAATAAAGCATTTCACCTCTATTACCCTATAACTACTAAATGGACTTAATATAGCCTGAAGTTTAATACAATTGACGTCTCAGCTCCGGCGTCATACTACCGGGGTAGGAGGACCTTCAGGCTCATAAGAAGATGTCCGGTTGGCCAACATAAGGAGGTGGATTTGGTTGGCTAAACCGGTCAGGATATTTCCACCCAGTGTTATTCACCTCACCTAGGAGAGACTTCAAACTGATTAGTTCAGAAAGTATTTCTTTGATTGCACGTAGATATCGCAAGTCTAATAGCACTCGGGAAGATCCACTGCTTGGAAATGTGTGCACTTTCTTAAACAAGTAATTTCGTTATCTAAGATCAGATGCATGAAAATTACTTGAAGTTAGAGTTGAAGAAAATTGATTCCTAGAAACTCATCATATATCTCTTTGCAATTGAGATGGAAATGTGAATGGTCATAACAGCTGCTAACAGGGGCTGTAAATGCTTCAGGAAATGAAACGGAATCACGATATTCTTGAAGTTGCGCCTGAGTATCGTCATCATATATGGTTTGATCAAGATCAAGAACTCCACCGAAAAGGTCGTCATTGTACACGTCGTACACGGGTTCATCAAAGATAGGCAAAGGCGATGATCTCGGCAACGTATCTTCAAATTCTTGAAATCTAAACTCGGTCGAGGGTGGAGTGGAAGAGAACTGATCATATGAAATGACCTCGTCGTCATCATCCGTTCGTAATGATTTAGTAGGAACGAAGGATTTTGAATTCGTCGTGGCAGCATACTTGCCCCGGACACCATTAAAATCGAGGCCAAGGGAGCTCAAGTTTTCCCTTCGTTCAAGCCTTGACAGCCGTCGTTTGAGTCGAATAATTTCTTGTTGAAGATCTTCGATTTCTTCATCTTGATGTGATCCCTGCATCGTCCACCGAGAAAACATCATGCTCTATTTTGGTGCTAATTTCTGGACAAAGAATCAAGAATTATGTTGTTTTTGGCGCGTGGAATGGCATCAGAAGTGGGCACCGAACAGAACGTCTGGATGTAACGTGGTGGCTGGACCGTGGATATATATTTTCTTTTTGCTGATCTACTGTCTTGAAGTGGGCACATTCCTTGAAGTGTCACTTTTCCTATCCTCTTGAGATCGTTTTACTTAGCCAAGAGGGTGTAGAATGCTGCTACCAAGAAGGCTTCTAAGAACTAGAAGCCAATGATTCTCCGAGAACTCCCCCACCCGACTATGGGAATTCATCCTCGATTCCCCCACGCGTGGTAGACGGCGGGTAAAGGGAGGCCACCGTTGAACCAAGGACCAAGTTTTTGGGAGCTTTAGCGAACACTTCCAAGTGAAGCCGCTGATTAACAGCTCTTCTGGTTGTTGTCTTGAAATCACAAGCTCCGGCCGGCTCCGTTATTCCTCCCGATCAAGAAGTCGCCAGACCCGGCCTTGATCCGCCTTCGCTCGCTCTTAGCCGGCGACACGATTCTGCCTTTCGGTCACGGATGTCACCGGAAGCCTCCTCTCTTTCTTGACCAAATTTCTCTCCGGCACCAAATGCTCCGTCGTTTTCTTGAACGACCTCCGACTTGATTTCTTCCGCCGGGTTCTTCTCTTCACCACCTGAGGACTTGTCAGGATACAGAGCAAGAAGAACTGGTTGGCTCTGATACCAAATGACACCGGCCAGGTAGGAGGCTCGACGAATCCACGTCGATGATCCGGTGACGATCGCCGGACACCACTCCAAGAACTTCTTGGAGGAAAGATCCACCACCTAAGAATCACTCTTAGGATACAGGAAAACACATTAGAATAAACTCAAATTTTATTCATATCAAAATCTATCCCGATTACAAGACAATGGCTGCCTATTTATAGCCAAAAGGGAAGCATCATACTAGGCTACACAAACAAAAGAAAGCATTTCACCTCTATTCCCCTATAACTACTAAATGGACTTAATATAGCCCGAAGTTTAATACAATTGACGTCTCAGCTCCGGCGTCACCCTTGCCTATTTAACACTGCACTCGGGCGCCAATGCAACTGCCCTTGCACACTTGTTGATGTATTCAGGTCATACAGCGTGTCGCTTCCAGGGGACACTCTAGCATTAACACAAATTTTCAAAGTATTCATGTCATGATCATTCGATAAGTTTTATGTTGTTGTTTTTTTTTTTAAAGTTTTATGCTGGTTGTCATCTACCTAATGCAACCCTCCACTTTTCTTATCCAGGACTTGGGTCCTGGCAACGAGAGTGTTTAGCCATTACAGTAACATAGGAATAAAATTTGATAAAATTTCATGATATGATAAGATGTTGTCAATAATAAAATTTTGAAATATAGTTGTGATTTGTTGTACATCCTTATCGTTCTTTTTTTTTTTTTAATGTAGAGGTTACAATGATATGTTTTATGGCTATAGATAGTGTTTTATGTATAGTTTTTTCTTTTACCTCGAGCATGATTAACTCTTCTATTTTTGTTGTTATCTAGTTTTCTTTTTTCAATCTCTTCATGTTTGTTTTACAAAGATGTCATAATCTTTACAAAATAATGAAGATTGATCATCCAAGTTAGAAGAGTTTTGGGATGGCACAGAATTTGTTGAAGGTCATAAATCACTTAATAGTCCATGCAATTATTGCTGCCATGGTGAGTATTATATTCACATTATTGCATGAGGTAGGAAGAGAAATACAAATGTAATCATGAATCGAATATACAATGTGAAACATGTCTCTCTTTGTTATATCTTAGATTCTATTCTGATTGTATTGGCATTGTGTAATTTGTTAGAGAGATTTTTTTTCCCAAAGTATGCAAATTTAATGAGCACAAGAAGATTACTTGTAAATACACTTAATGTACATAGCGGAGAATTAAGGTTCTATATTCTTGCATGTACTCAAGCATAATAGATGAAACACATATTAAAAAGTTGTTCAAAATGAAGCAGTAAAAAAGCTGTTCCAAATGAAGCCTTAGTTTTCTTATTAATTTAGTTAACAGAAAAATGGGAATGTGTTGGCACTATAGATGAAACACATTAAAACTAGAGCACCTAAAGAGCAGAACTCCGCATTTAGTGAAATAAAATCCCACTTAACCTAAAATGTG